TTTTCCCCCCCCCCTTTTTACCCCTTTTTCCCTTTTTTTTTTTTTTCCCCCCCCCCCCCCAAAAAAACCCCCCAAAAATTTTTTAAAAAAAAATTTAAAAGTACGGAAAAAAGGGGTTTTTTTTTTTTGGGGGCCCAAAACCCCCCTTTTTAAAATTTTTTAAATTTTTCCCCCCTTTTTAAAAAAAAAAAAAAAATTTTTAAAAAATTGTTTAAAATTTTTAAACCAAAAACCCCCCCCCTTTTTTTAAAAAAATTTTTAAAAAAAACCCCCCTTTTTAAAAAAAAAAATTTTTTAATGAAAAATTTTTTAATTTATTTTTGTTTCAAAAATTTTAAAAATTTTTAAAAAATTTTTTTTTTAAAAAAAAAATTTTTTTTTAAAAAAAAAATTCCCCCCCCCCCCCTTTTTTTTTTTAAAATTTTTTTTAAAAAAAATTTTTTTAATATTAAAAAATTTAACCCCCCTTTTTTTTTAAATTTTTTTTTCCCTTTTTTTTTTTTTTGGGTTTTTTTTTCCCCCAACCTACCCCCCCCCTTTTTTTTTAAAAAATTTTTAAAAGGGAAACCCCCCAAAAAAATTTTTTTAAACCCCCCTTTTTAAATTTAAATTTTTTTTTTAAAAAAAAAAAATTTTAAAATTTTTTTTTTTTTTAAAAAAAAAAAAATTTTTTTTTTTTTAAAAAAAAAAATTTTTTTTTAAAAAATTTTTTTTTTTTTTTTTTTTTTACCCCCCCAATCCCCCCCCCCCCAAAAAAAAAAAACCCCAATTTTTCCCCCCTTTTTTTTTTTAAATTTTTTTTTTTTAAAAAATTTTTCCCCCCCCCCCCCTTTTCCCTTTTCCAAAACCCCCCCCCTTTTTTTTTTTAACCCCCCAAAAAATTTTTTTTAACACCCCCAAAAATTTAAAAACCATTTTTTTTTAAAAAAAACCCCCCCCCAAAATTTTTTTTTTTAAAAAAAAAAATTTTTTTTTTTTTTTTAAAAAAAAAAAAAAAAAATTTTTTTTTTTTTTTTTTTTCCCCCCCCCCCAAAACCCCCCGGGGGGAAAAAAAACCCCCCTTTTCCCCCAATTTTGGGGGGGGGGCCCCCCCAAGGGGCCCCCCTTTTCCCCCCCCCGGGAAAAAAAACCCCATTTTAAACCGAAGTTACCCAAAATTTTTAGTTTTTCCCCCCCTTTTTTTATTTAAGGGGACTTAATGCCCGATCCGGTTCCCTTTTAATAATTTTTTAAAAAAAGTACCCCTAACACACCTCAAATCCCTTTTTAATTTCTTATGTAATGCTTTGTACTTTTTTTTGGGGCGAAGGGCCTAATTCCCTTCCCCAATTCCTTATGGAAAAATTCTCAAAAAAGGATAACCCTCCTACGGGATGAAAAAGTCTTTTCCCCCCTTAATTAAAATTAAAATATTTATATAAATATTTTTTTATTTAAAATTAACTCCCCCGTTAACAACCCCCAAAATTTTTCCCAATTTTAACTTTTTATTAAATTTTTCTTATTTTTTTTTTTGAAGGGGCCTTTCCCCACCACAATTTCCTTTAAAAATCTCACAGCACCTAACTTTTACTTAATAGTCCTTAACACTCTCTTGAAAAATTAAAAAATTATTTTTTTTTATAATTTTATTTTTTCATTAATATTTTTTATTATAAAAAAATTTAATATATAAAATATATATATAAATATATATATATATATTATTTTTTTTTTTTTTTATTTTTTTTTTTTTATCACACCGGCCGATTCCCACCAAGGCAGGGGGGCCCCAAAAAGAAAAACTTTCACCTCTTCACTCCATCACTGTCTTGCCAGAGGGTGCTTTACACTACGTTTTTAAACTGCAACATTAACACCCCTCCTTCAGAGTGCAGGCACTGTACTTCCCATCTCCAGGGCTCAAGTCCGGCCTGCCGGTTTCCCTGAATCCCTTTATAAATGTTACTTTGCTCACACTCCAACAGCACGTCAAGTATTAAAAACCATTTGTTCCCATTCACTCCTATCAAACACGCTCACGCATATATATATATATATATAAAATATATATATAATATATATATATTTTATATATATATTTTATATATATATATACAGTGGCCCCCCCGCATAGCGAACGCCTTGCATAGCGAACAATCCGCATAGCGAACGCTTTTTTCGCTGAAATTTTGCCCCGCATAGTAGACAAAAACCCGCTCAGCGAACTTCGTCCGAGACGCGTCCAATGTGGGCCCTCAGCCAGCCTCACATGTGCCGCCCGTCCCATTGTTTACCAGCTAGCCTCCGCGGTAACATTCAAGCATACACTCGGAATATTTCGTATTATTACAGTGTTTTCGGTGCTGTTTCTGGAAAATAAGTGACCATGGGCCCCAAGAAAGCTTCTAGTGCCAACCCTGTGGTAAAAGGGTGAGAATTAGTATGGAAATTAAGAAAGATTTTGAAGGGTTTGGGGCTAACCTGAGAAGCCTATGCCAGTTGTGGAATCAATTGTGCCTACTTCAAAATTAAGGAAATGTGTGCACAGTGGGTTGAACTGCAAACCTTTATGGATGAAAATCACCCTGACACAGCTGTTGCAAGCCGTGCTGGTGACTATTTCAATGACAATGTTATGGCCCATTTTAGGAAAGTCTTGAAGGAACGGGAGGTACAGAGCTCTATGGACAGATTTGTTGTGCGACAGAGGTCCAGTGACTCTCAAGCTGGTCCTAGTGGCATTAAAGAAGAAGGGAAGTAACCCAGAAAAGGACTTGCTACCTCAAGTCTAATGGAAGGGGATTCCCTTCTAAACAGTAAGAAGATAATGCTCTCCCCTCCTCCCATCCATCAATCATCACCAGATCTTCAATAAAAGTAAGTGTCATGTAATTGTGCATGCCTTTTTCAGTTTGTGTGTACTAAAATTAACATTTTTTTGTGGTAAAAAAATTTTTTTTTCATACTTTTGGGTGTCTTGCACGGATTAATTTTATTTCCATTATTTCTTATGGGGAAAATTAATTCGCATAGCGAACATTTCGCATAACGACCAGCCCTCTTGCACGGATTAAGTTCGCTATGCGGGGGTCCACTGTATATATATATATATATATACAGTGGACCCCCGCATACTGCACGCATCGCATACCGTACAATCCGCATAACGCTCGCTTTTTTCGCAAAAATTTTGCCTCGCATACCGCCCAAAAACCCGCTCACCGCCCTTCGTCCGAGACGCGTCCAATGTGCGGCCTAAGCCACGCTCACATGTTCCGCCAGTGGCATTGTTTACCAGCCAGCCTCCGCGGTAACATCCAAGCATACAATCGGAACATTTCGTATTATTACAGTGTTTTTGGTGATTTTTTCTGGAAAATAAGTGACCATGGGCCCCAAGAAAGCTTCTAGTGCCAACCCTACAGCAATAAGGGTGAGAATTACTATAGAGATGAAGAAAAAGATCATTGATAAAGTATGAAAGTGGAGTGCGTGTCTCCGAGCTGGCCAGGTTGTATAATAAACCCCAATCAACTGACGGTGGTACAGCTGCTGCTGTACCACCATCAGCTGCTGCTGCACTGTCAGCTGCTGCTGCACTGTCAGCTGCTGCTGCTGTTGTACCACCGTCAGCTGCTGCTGCTGCTGTAGCATCATCTGCTGCTGCTGTAGCATCGTCTGCTGCTGCTGTAGCATTGTCTGCTGCTGCTGTAGCATCGTCTACTGCTGCTGTAGCATCGTCTGCTGCTGCTGTAGCATCGTCTGTTGCTGCTGTAGCATCGTCTGCTGCTGCTGTAGCATCGTCTGTTGCTGCTGTAGCATCGTCTGTTGCTGCTGTACCACCGTCAGCTGCTGCTGCTGCTGTAGCACCGTTGTTGGTGTGGCTTATTGAGAATACAAGAAACAATTAACCCAGAGGATTTGCCCCAGGATAACCCAAAAAAGTCAGTGTCATCGAAGACTGTCTAACTTATTTCCATTGGGGACCTTAATCTTGTCTCCCAGGATGCAACCCACACCAGTCGACTAACACCCAGGTGAACAGGGAAAAATGCCTGGAACTAGTGTCGTATTGGTGAATTTAAAGACAGCAAAGGTTGGTTTGAGAGATTTAAGAGTCGTAGTGGCATACACAGTGTGATAAGGCCTGTTCTGGAAGAAAATGCCAAACAGGACCTACAGTACTCAGGAGGAAAAGGCACTCCCAGGACACAGTGTCTCATCAGTCATTGCTGCATCTTCAATAAAGGTAAGTGTCATTTATTCTTCATTTAGTAGAGTAGTACATGCACAATATATATTGTACATGTACTACTCTACTATTGTGCATGTATCCTTCTCTTTGTGTGTAGGAAAATGTATATTTCATGTGGTAAAATTTTTTTTTTCATACTTTTGGGTGTCTTGCACGGATTAATTTGATTTCCATTATTTCTTATGGGGAAAATTCATTCGCATACCGAACATTTCGCATAACAATCAGCCCTCTTGCACGGATTAATGTCGCTATGCGGGGGTCCACTGTATGTGGTATACAAACCTAGCTGACATCAATGACATATTACTGTATAGAAAGCCGCTTGTTATGCTGAGCATTTCGGGCAAATTAGGTCAGTTTTGTCCCAGGATGCGACCCACACCAGTCGACTAACACCCAGGTACCCATTTTATACTGATGGGTGAACATGGATGGCAGGTGTCTTATTGAAACACGTCCCTAATGTTTTCCAGTCATGCTGGAGGAGATTCGAACTCCAGACCTCAGTGTGTGAGCTGAATGCACTAGCGATCGAGCTATGGGAATACAAGACAATCAAATATTCTATGTGGTTGTGCTATATGGCTTTAATAAGTTTGTAGAGAACAATTACAATTTTGATTATTAACCTTAGGTGGACACAATGGAGAGATTAACATTTGATATGAATATTGTATATCTGTTCATCACTTGTTCTCCTAGCTGCTATGAAAAGTATATGTGTATTTATTGTACATTACTAATGGTATGTTTATTGCAGATTATCTGAACGTAACTGTGTTGAAATTGTCAACAAGTTAGTTAAGCTTGGGTTGCTAGAGATCTACCACACTAACGATGGCAAGGAATATATTACCCCAGCTCAACTTACTAAGGAGATACAAGATGAACTCTTTGTCCATGGAGGCACGTTTATATATTTTTTTGTTAATTAACATGTATGATGTAAATAAAATATTAAATATTAATCGACTGTGTTTGAAGAATGAGTAAACATAGCAAAATAAAAGTATGTATATGTAGTACAGTACTATATACTATATTTTTTAAGGTATTTAGTATACATACTATAAAAAATTTAGAAAAAAAAAAACTTTTTTGATGTACATATATCTATGAATAAATAATACTCTATGAACTTTTTAATATGTTGGAAAGTATTTTGGGAACTTAAGTATTACACATTCATATGTATTTTCAGGGCGGGTGAACTTGGTGGATCTGGTAAATGTGTTATCAGTTGATCACAGTGTAATAGAAAAGCGAGCCTCAGCTCTGGCTCACTCTGACTCCAGTATATCCTTTGTCCTTGGTCAGCTTATTACACAGGATTATCTAGATGCTATTGCTGAGGAGATAAATGAAAAACTCCAGCAGGAAGGTTCAGTAACAATTGCAGACCTAGTGAAGCAGTATGAATTACCTGGAGATTATATGCTGGAGGTGGGTACTGTAGTCTCTCTTTTATGTGTATTATTTTGTAATATGTCTTATTCTGTTTCAACCCTTTGAGGGTCTGCACTGTAGTTCTATGGCTTTGAAGCCAGGGTCTGTGCCGTAGTACTGTGTCATGAGCTCAACTCACTCATATAAGCTGTGAGCTGTAAATTTAGGCCAAGATATTCGGAGCGCTGGGCAGGTGAACGGGGATACATGTTTGGACAGTTTAAGGGTTAACCCTTTTAGGGTCCAAGGCCAAAATCTGAAGTGGTGCCCCAGTGTCCAAGAAATTTAAAAAAAAAAAAATATTTTTTTTTCTTACACAATTAAAGATAATATTTTTTGTGAAGGTAATAAAACAAAAAAAAAAATTCTGATCAGTACTTAACGAGATACAGCGGCGGGAAGTTGACCCAAAATGAGCGGGTGGCAGCAACATCAGTCACTTCCGCAAAATCCCATTTTTTTATTTTACGTTTTTTATACTTTTTTCTTTTCTAATTTTTTTCTTTTTCTAATAACATTTGTGGCCTGTGAGACCAATATAATGTATATTGTATAAGTGTACACTCACTGTATGCAACACAATAACTGCACTAATTTGTTTATCATTATATTGCTTACAAAACTTGTTTACAAGTTTATTGTAAACAAAATGCTGAAAATATTAGTGGGGTTATTGCACTGAATACAATGGTACCATATAGTACCATATGGTACAATGGTGCCATAGGGTGCAATGGTACATATGGTACAATGGCACCATATGATACAATGGTACCATATGGTACAATATGGTACAGTGGCACATGATACAATGGTACCATATGATACAATAGTACCATATGGTACACTGGCACCATTTGGTACAAGGGCATCATATGATACAATGGTACCATATGGTGCAATGGTATCTTATGGTACTGTATGGTGCAATGGTACCATATGGTGCAATGGTACCATATGGTACCATATGGTGCAATGGTATTATATGGTACATTGTACCATACAGTGCAATGATACCATATCGTTCATTGTACCATATGGTACTGTTGTATTCAACACAATAAACACTAATATTTTCATTATTATTTTGTTTACAATAGTTGTTTACAACAAAAATATGCAAAAATGTTGTATATTAGTAATGTTCTATTATATATTTACAAGTGTACAGGAACTTGACATGTTCCTTGAGGTGGATGATAAAGCACTTTGTCTTGGAAACTGCGGAGTCAGTAGCTAGCTTGCGTCGCCACTCACTCAATCTTGGCTGGTGTCTCATGCCACCAACACCTATTGACCATATGGTACACGGTATCATATGTTACATGGTACCATATGGTACATTGTACTATATGGTATAGGGTACCATGCAGTACAGGATAACATATGGTGCAGGGTACCATATGGTTCAGGGTACCATATGGCACAGGGTACCATATGGCACAGGGTACCATATGGTACAGGGTACCATACAGTACAGGACACCATATGGTACAGATACACCCCCCCACTCTTCATAGATCTAAACTTACTCCCTGTTCAGAACATCCACACTTATTACTGTGCAATCTATATCTACAGGACCTTAAATTCCAATATTAACTTTGACCTAAAACACTTTCTTGATAGTTGTGACAGGATCCACAGGCATAACACCAGACACAAATATCTCTATGACATTCCCCGTGTTCGACTAAACCTTTACAAAAATTCAGTGTATTTCAAAGGACCTAAAATCTGGAACACCCTACCTGAAAACTCAAGAACTGCAGACACATTCATCACTTTGAAAACTAGAGTTAGAAAACATCTTATCTCCCTGATCCACCCTGACAACTAACTACATGATAACCACCTGGTGGTTCACAATTACACTCACTCACCCACTGACTATAAACCCAGAAATACTAATCTTAATCTTAAAATAATAAATCCTAACTAGCCATAAGTTTGCCTATGATACTCCAATATAGACACCTTGTATTGTGCCAAAACAAAAGCATTCACATTGCTAAGCAAATTATGATGTAGTCACTTAGCCTTAACCCCATAATCTGTAAGGATTTAATGTTAAGAATTAATCTAAGTCTGCTCGAAATGCCTAGCCATGCTAGGTGTCCTAGTGGCCCCCTCTGTAATTAGTATTTTATAACATGTAAACCACACTTCTACTTACACTTAGGTCACACTACACATACATGTACATGTTTATTTATGCACACTCATCTGAGTTTTCTTTGATTTTATCTTAATAGTTCTTGGTCTTATTACTTTTCCTTTTATATCCATGGGGAAGTGGAATAAAAATATTTCCTCCGTAAGCCATGCGTGTTGTAAAAGTCAACTAAAATGCCGGGAACAATGGGCTAGTAACCCCTTTTCCTGTAAAGATTACTAAAAAGAATAAGAAGAAGAAAATTGTCGAAGTGGGAAGTCTGAATGTGCGTGGATGTTGTGCAAATTTTAAGAAAGAGATGATTGTGGATGTTATGAATCAGAAGAAGCTGGATGTCCTAGCTTTAAGTGAAACAAAGCTGAAGGGGGTGGGAGAGTTTCAATGGAGAGGAATAAATGGGATTAGGTCAGGGGTTTCAAATAGAGTTAGAGCTAAAGAAGGAGTAGCAATAATGTTGAAGGATAAGCTATAGCAGGAAAAGAGGGACTATAAATGTATTAATTCATGGATTATGTGGAGTCAAATAAAGATTGGATGTGAAAAGTGGGTTATAGTAAGCGTGTATGCACCTGGAGAATAGAGAAGTATAGAGGAGAGAGAGAGATTTTGGGAAATGTTGAGTGAATGTGTGAGGAGTTTTGAATCAAGTGTGAGAGTAATGGTGGTTGGGGATTTCAATGCTAAAGTGGGTAAAAATGTTGTGGAGGGAGTAGTAGGTAAATTTGGGGTGCCAGGGGTAAATGTAAATGGGGAGCCTTTAATTGAGCTATGTGTAGAAAGAGATTTGGTAATAAGTAATACATATTATATGAAAAGAGGATAAATAAATATACAAGGTTATGATGTAGCACGTTATGAAAGTAGTTTGTTAGATTATGTATTGGTGGATAAAAGGTTGATGGGTAGGCTCCAGGATGTACATGTTTGTAGAGGGGCAACTGATATATCGGATCATTATTTAGTTGTAGCTACAGTTAGAGTAAGAGGTAGATGGGAAAAGAGGAAGGTGGCAACAACAAGTAAGAGGGAGGTGAAAGTGTATGAACTAAGGGAGGAGGAAGTTCGGGTGAGATATAAGCGACTATTGGCAGAAAGGTGGGCTAGTGCAAAGATGAGTAGTGGGGGGGGGGGGGGTTGAAGAGGGGTTGGAATAGTTTTAAAAATGCAGTATTAGAATGTGGGGCAGAAGTTTTGTGGTTATAGGAGGGTGGGGGCAGGAGGAAAGAGGAGTGATTGGTGGAATGATTAATTAAAGGGCGTGATAAAAGAGAAAAAGTTAGCTTATGAGAGGTTTTTACAAAGCAGAAGTGTTATAAGAAGAGCAGAGTATATGGAGAGTAAAAGAAAGGTGAAGAGAGTGGTGAGGGAGTACAAAAGGAGAGCAGATGATAGAGTGGGAGAGGCACTGTCAAGAAATTTTATTGAAAATAAGAAAAAATTTTGGAGTGAGTTAAACAAGTTAAGAAAGCCTAGGGAAAGTATGGATTTGTCAGTTAAGAACAGAGTAGGGGAGTTAGTAGATGGGGAGAGTGAGGTATTAGGTAGATGGCGAGAATATTTTGAGGAACTTTTAAATGTTGAGGAAGAAAGGGAGGCGGTAATTTCATGCACTGGTCAGGGAGGTATACCATCTTTTAGGAGTGAAGAAGAGCAGAATGTAAGTGTGGGGGAGGTACATGAGGCATTACGTAGAATGAAAGTGAGTAAAGCAGCTGGAACTGATGGGATCATGACAGAAATGTTAAAAGCAGGGGGGGATATAGTGTTGGAGTGGTTGGTACTTTTGTTTAACAAATGTATGAAAGAGGGGAAGGTACCTAGGGATTGGCAGAGAGCATGTATAGTCCCTTTATATAAAGGGAAAGGGGACAAAAGAGATTGTAAAAATTATAGAGGAATAAGTTTATTGAGTATACCAGGAAAAGTGTACGGTAGGGTTATAATTGAAAGAATTAGAGGTAAGACAGAATGTAGGATTGCGGATGAGCAAGGAGGTTTCAGAGTGGGTAGGGGATGTGTAGATCAAGTGTTTACATTGAAGCATATATGTGAACAGTATTTAGATAAAGGTAGGGAAGTTTTTATTGCATTTATGGATTTAGAAAAGGCATATGATAGAATGGATAGAGGAGCAATGTGGCAGATGTTGCAAGTATATGGAATAGGTGGTAAGTTACTAAATGCTGTAAAGAGTTTTTATGAGTATAGTGAGGCTCAGGTTAGGGTGTGTAGAAGAGAGGGAGACTACTTCCCGGTAAAAGTAGGTCTTAGACAGGGATGTGTTATGTCACCATGGTTGTTTAATATATTTATAAATGGGTCTGTAAAAGAAGTAAATGCTAGGGTGTTTGGGAGAGGGGTGGGATTAAATTATGGGCAATCAAATTCAAAATGGGAATTAACACAGTTACATTTTGCTGATGATACTGTGTTTATGGGAGATTCTAAATAAAAATTGCAAAGGTTAGTGGATGAGTTTGGAAAGGTGTGTAAAGGTAGAAAGTTGAAAGTGAACATAGAAAAGAGTAAGGTGATGAGGGTATCAAATGATTTAGAAAAAGAAAAATTGGATATCAAATTGGGGAGGAGTAGTATGGAAGAAGTGAATGTTTTCAGATACTTGGGAGTTGACGTGTCGGCGGATGGATTTATGAAGGATGAGGTTAATCATAGAATTGGTGAGGGAAAAAAGGTGAGTGGTGCATTGAGATATATGTGGAGTCAAAAAACGTTATCTATGGAGGCAAAGAAGGGAATGTATGAAAGTATAGTAGTACCAACACTCTTATATGGGTGTGAAGCTTGGGTGGTAAATGCAGCA